TTCCAGAAGTTATATTTGGTTGTTTTTCAAATCTGCCCTAGTATTTTTTTGAAAAATGTTATCTATTTATCATATTTTCAATTCTTTCTATTAAATCTTTAATAATATCAAATGATGGTTTTATAGTCTTTATCTGGTAGTTTTATCTAAGTTTTAGAGGGTCTAATATGCTATTTATTCAATCTCCTTCTGCTCACTCATCAACTATTAAATTCAAGTCCCAAAATTCAAGAGAGATTAACTACAGTTATGTACTCTCAGAAAGACTTCTCTCCCCTCTCCACCCCAAGCCCAAGTTTAGACAGATAAACTTATTTGTCTTCAACCTGGAGAAGTAGGTAGATATTTTTTCTAAGCTACCTTCACAGAGGGTACAATGTTTCATGAGTCCTGGCTTTATAAACAGTTCTAGGTTCCAGTTCATACAAGTCCAAAGTATAATCTCCTATCCCAGTGTGGCCATTAAAGCTTTAGCTACTGAGACTAATAAACCCCTCATGGCTGCCTCAGCATTAGCTCATGTGCTACAATTCTGGTAATCAGTTCGTTCTTTTTTAGCCCTTAGGTAGTTCCCTTGCTATTTTGTAAGCCCAGACATGCAATTTAAAAAGATGTTTACATTTCATACAACATTTCTAGGTACTTTGTAGCAGAAGAGCTTTTAAATTAAATCATCCTGTCGCCATATTTCCAGAAATGTTAACTCCTATTAAATGTTAGTTCTAATTAAATCTGAAAGTATTAAAAGATATCTAGATTTTCAAACAATACCATCTGTAACTGAAATTTCTTAATTGGATAAAATATGTTTTTTAATCCAGTAGACATTGGAAAATGAGTTTATTCTCCTTTCTGAGTTACCAAAGTGAAAATGTGAAATATACTTTTAGGTTGAATAAATTCAAGGTATGTTGTGGGAGACAATATTTGATTCTAGAAAGCCTCTTCTCCAAAGTTGCCAAAGTATGTTACAAACATACTAATTAATCCTCCTGGGTTTTTTTTTTACTTAACAGTACAGTATTAATTAATCCTCAGGATGTACATCTAAATAAAGTTTGTGGTAAGTTTTATCCCCCACTTATCAGTAGAAAAGCTTATCTTTGGATAACATGACTGTGATCATGCTATAAGTGAATGATAAAGTACAGAGTCAAGACTTCTGATTTCCTATACAATTAGAAAAAGCTTGAGTATGATCCAGAATAATTCAAATCTATTTTCTATTAAAATATAAGTATGCTAGTTATTATTTGTACATATACAGATATTTCAAAATCTAGACTTTTTTATTTTCAAATGTTTTATAACAAAAACATAAAAGAAATGACAAATTTAAACTCTGACTTTCTCAAAATTCTCCTACTCCATCTTCCTTTTTTCCCCATTTCTTTTCCTAAATCAAAGATCTAAGGAATCTGAGATTTCATATCTTCCTTATTCTACATATATTTGTTAAGATTTTCTAACACAATTATTCAAAGAAAAACACACCCTAAACAAATTGACTTTTAATTTTAGTTATAAAATTCAGAAAACTTAATAAATCTCTCAACTTTTAAAATGCAATTATCAACTAAATCAGCTGATACAAATGCATACAAATGAAAAATATTTTTAAGGGGAACATAATATTAATGAAATACCAAGGTACAAAAGAATATTTAATATTAAAAACCTGACCCAAAGCACTATTACTTTTATGAAATAGCCAGGTAAGCATGTTATCTTCTAAACATATACAACAGAAAATCTCAAAGGCTTTTTCTACTCCCAATAGTTGCTAGCTATACATCACTGAGAAGTTACAGTAAATAAATGCATCCGCTGCAGATCTCTGTACGCTTTTCCTCTGAGACCTTAATCCACCTCGAATATACCATTACTCTAATAAGGGAAAAAAAAGTATTTTGTTTTGGGTCTTTTTTTCTTTTGCTATGTATTTTTACTATCAGTTAAAGGGAAAAAGCATAAATATTTTCAATTAACTTTATTTTAAATTTCATTTCACATAATTTTTATTGTGACATTAGGATTTAAAAGTGAATGATGAAACTCATTTCCCACATACTAGGATTAAATATTTTCATTTTTAAATAAAAAATGAAACAAATGTAACAATTAATGTTCTTATATTTATATTATAGAATTGAAATAGAAATCTGCAGCTGTTGATATTATGAACTGCTATGGTGATTTAATCATGTTTACAGGTCTATCTGTTAAGTGGCATAAGATTAAATGGATAGGGTCTAAAAGAAATCAACCTTAGTGGAAAAAAAAAAACAACAACCAAAAAATTTTTCTAACAACTTTGGTTCATTTTCTTATATCCTCTAAGTTTTCGCAATTTTTTTAAATTAAGGAGAATCATCAAATTACATTTTCCAATATTACAAATAGTAGGTCCTCTTTTCCAGCACTTTTCAACCATTTTACCACTGGGACAATCTTAAGGAAAGGTGTTCCCCATGTAACATACATCTAACGAGTATGCTCAGAATTTGTTTTTCTTATGACTGATACATAGCTACAAGACTGTAAATTATGAGCACGTGCTGGTCCTAACCCCGCTTTTTTCGTTTGTTGATTCGAGACATACCAATGCCAAAATACTGTGGCCCAATCTCTGATTTTATCAGTGAGTCATCTGAGGCCAGACAGATTAAACTACATTATCAGCAGCACCACAAGGTGAAATCATCAGGGACAGAGCACGCACTCTATCCCTGATGTTTTGTTCACAGACTCCAATTTGTTTAATTATTTCATGCTGCCCTCTGAATTCACTACTGTGGAATAACTGAGTGAGCCAGGTCAGAATAACAGTTATCCTACAGTAGTGAATTTTCCAGGCCCCTGGAGCTTAACTCTTTAAATATCAAAACTTTAAAAAGTTATCAATCTTTTTTGGTAGAAACCTGCAAAAAGTAAAAGGCACAATAAATCTAGATTCCTTGGATGTTCCAGTGAAATGGCTCTGACATTCTTTTTTTTGCCTAACTACATGGTTATGTGCCTCACAAATATTTTCCCATTATGTTACTGGTATTCCTTGTGTTAATTCTGGATCCCTCAGTGAACTCCACCATTTTACTGTACTTATTCAATTCCTACGTTATTGCTGGGAGAACATGAAAATAGTGACATGGTGGAGTCAGTGGTAGCAGATGGTTTAAAATGTAAGAGAGTGTGTTCTTTTCCAGACTTCTTAACCACCGTTTTGATCAGTCACAGTGCTATATTAGAACCAGATTATTTGCATAGACCTTTGGCTGCCACATCAAGAGGCCCAGGTTGCTATATTTGTTGAGTTTTTGCAGCTATCATCTATGTGTTATCACCAAGTAATTCCCCTATCTCCAATATTCTATTCAAGTACGAAATGAGAACCAACTTCTTAGGCTTATAAAAATATGTCAAAATATATTAAAGAAATTCCAAATGAAGACTTGAGAAGTTCTCCTCTTACAGTATATATCAGCATGAACTTTGACTTAGCTATCCAGGTTCTTTATTTTTGTTTGCTTCTGAGTTCTGAAAGTTCTAGTTTCTGGGTAAGTGCTCTCTGGAAAAGTCAGCAGAACTTCTGAGATGTTTTTATTCGTCTTTTAGTCTATTCCATGTGACTTTATATAAAAATTCCTCAAAACAATGTGCTTACAATCAGCATAGAAACCTAAACTGAGCCAAAGTAGACCTTCAACACTCTAAACCAGTGCTTTCTCAAACTTGACTGTGCATACCAATCACCTGGAAATCTCATGAATATGAAGATTCTGACTCAGTAGGTCTGAGGTTGAGCCCAAGATTCTGCATTTTTAATCAGCTGACATGTGATGCTGAGGCTTCTAGTCCTAACTACTACCCTTTTAGTAGCAGAGCTACTGAAAACATATTTTTTTCTCTCTCCTATTTCTAAAT